AGAAGTAGGATAAAAAAGTGAAATCACCCCAACTACATAGTTCTAAAAAAAATAGTAAAACGCCAGTACTGATCGAGGGATTTCTCAACCAAAAAAATAATATTTAAGAGAAAACAAGATCAAGTGGTCTTACATCATCTACCCTACGAAGCAGACCATATTCAGGACCTCTTCTGGATGGAATAGTAATATGATCAATCTTGTGCCGATGTAGATCAAGCACCTGAAAAATGGAAACGAGAAGATGCCCTAAAATAAAGCATAAGCAGTTTCCAAGCATTGTCAATTAGAACATAAAGAAGGAATTGCTTAAAAAATATGTGCAAGCCATTTTCCAATATTTTGATGGCAGAAGATGACAATTTATTTTGTCCTACACGGTATGAGACATGCCCTCTGACATGAAAACCAAAGGCAACTTCTTGAAGTTACAGAAGTAAACTCATATAATATCATAAGTAAGCCATCACAGTTAAGTCCAGGGGACAAGAACATAATGCATCATAAAGGATATGCAAATTAAATCTCCCAAGACCAGATATATCAACAAAAGTCATCTAATAAGAAAAAACTAAACTAAAGATAAACTTTAAAACCTTCTGGAAAACCATCATAATCTTACGTCAAATTTTTTTAACTTTTCTAAAATACCCAATCTTGACGACTCAACTTCTCATTTAAGAAGCTAGCTGAGGTTCAGAACCAACCAACTATTCAAACTGATTTACTTCTTGTGGCAAACAGTTTGATAAAGAAAAATAAAACTCACTGTAAAGTGTAAATTATAGACTCAATGAAGAGCAATTTTTTTTTTCCTTTGGAACAAGAAACAATTATATTCACAGATAACAAGAGCTGGGAAATAAAGAGTGAGACCTTAACACCAGAAAGTTTCTCAAGTTTCTCAATCGAGTCCATGACCAGAATTTCCTCTCCATCCTCGCTAACCCAGACAGGGAGAGGTGTACCCCAAAACCTACTCCGACTGACTGCCCAATCTCTTGCATTCTCAAGCCAATTATGGAACCTTTTCTCCTGCAATTTGAAGCGAAGGAATACCAATGAAGCAAAAATATATCTCATGGTCCATGAAACAGTTCTTTCTTATATCAGGACTACCACCTTTTACACCGTGCATAAAATTCTACCCTATCCAACCTTATTCACATATAAAAGTCCAGAAAAAGTGAAATATAAATATTTAAGAGGAGTTTTTCATGAAGAATATAACCTTCACAAAATCAGGGACCCAATAAGTCTTCTCGTTGTTTTCTAGTAATTGCTCCTTTAATTTCTCAACTCGGACAAACCTAGAGAGAGAGGTGTCTAATTGGTTAGGATGGCACGGTTGGAGGAAAATAAAAACAAACCATAAAAATTATTTACCCTGTGTCAGCATTCAAGAATGCATATCAAATGGGACAAAGGTTCAATAAATAATAGATCTAGAGATATAACAATAGTGATATAAGCACTATTATCAAGTGCAAAAATAAAACTCAGGAATAGTAACCTTTGGTGCTCAATTAAAGTGACGTCTGCTGTTATAAGGTTTTTCAATTTAAAGAACAAAATTTATTAAAAATATTCCATAATTTCTTTGCCACTTTAGGAATACTCTCTTCCCAACAACTGAACCCAAAGTGCGAACAAAAACCAACTTCCCTCTTCATTTATTCAGAGGGCAGGAGGCAAACACTTCCAATGTCATAATGCACACGTGCACAAAAATAAAACACCAAAAACATTCTGAAAAAGAAACCTAACACAAAAATATATAACAGATTTCAAAATAATTAATAAATGGACTTGCCAGCTTGGGACAGCCCTGTAGATAAGGGGTGTATCAGATCTCCAGCAGAAAGGATAAGAATGGGTAAAGCTTCCCGATTTAACAAGCCTCCCTAGTGCCTGAAATAGAAAAGAGCTCTCACCAATAACGCACGGTTCAATATTAAATGGTTAATAATTAACTAGATTCCATTTCCATCATAAATTTAGAATTACAGAATGAAAACATAATCGTCAAGTAGATACATTCCCAAGGACAAAGCTATAGGATATAATTAGAAAATGATTGACTTATAGTGATATGAGCCAAGGAACCAAGCTTGAACTCCAAGATCTTAAAATTCATCCAAAGTTGAAGCTACAAGTTCAAGATCCAAACAAGAACCAAGGTGTCCATTCAAGCTCCCTTTTGAAGGTTCCAAGCTTATCAAGATTGCATCGAAGAGATTTCTTCCAAAAATCCAAGTTACTCAAGCACAATCCAAGAGGAAGAGTCCAAGGAGGCCCACTGCTACACCCTAGTTTGAGTCTTGAGAATATTTTCTGGGCTTGTAAACTAGACCTTGTATTGACCATTGTTTAAACATTCATTTAGAGTTTTGATAGGCTTATTTAGACCCTAGCCTCCACCAGAGATTTCTTACAAAAAGCCAAGCTACTCAAGGATGATCCAAAAGGAAGAGTTCTAGGAGGCCCCCAGCTAGATTCGTCTTGACACTATTTTTTGGGCTTGTCAGCTAGACTAGACCCTGAACTGACAATTGTTTTAACATTCATTTAGAGTTTTGACAGGCATATTTACAGCTCCAGCCATCACCCCCATTGATGCATCAATGGAGAGAATATTGGCCCTTAGGAAACACATTGATTTCTTAGATTATTTCCTTTTAGTTTTTGTAGGATTATCTTCGTAAGTTTAAGGATTTCTTTGGCACTCCTTTGAGTGAGGCATGAAAGGCATAAGGCATAAGCCTCAGTGAAAGGTAGGAGTAAGACAAAAATTAAGCACAGCAAATTTTAAAAGGTGGGATGTTTTCTGTTCAATGGGACTCTCAAGGAAAAAATTGATTACATTGCAGATTTAACAATTTATGTGGTGCCGCTGCCACCTCAAACTTTGGTTTTGTAGTTTTTTAAATTTTTCAACAGATCATGAGCGTCCGGACCAGCTTGCACACACCTCGACTAATCTCACGGGACAACTACCTGACCCTACTACATTTGGTTGTCAAGGTAACTTGTACGATATTAAATCCTAGGTAGGTGACCACCATGATTTGAACCCATTTCCTCAAAGCCCTTTCACTGGGTCACACCATAATGGTTTTCTCAACAGATATTTGTTCTAAAAGATATTTTTCAAGTTCCCTAATTTTCTTACGTATTGTTTCCAGTTCTACTTCTAACTAGAAAACTGGTAGTGCTTTTTCATGTATTATTTATTCAACATTTTTTTTCCCACATTTTTCCTCTGTTTTATTTAATTTCTTTTCTTATTCAAGTATTGTTTTCGGGCTTACCTATGGAGTTTATGGCCGGAAGAAAGGATAGGGTCTTCAACGATAAACCACACTCTTTTGATAGTTTTTTTATAGAGTTTTGCTATTAGCTCTTGGGTGGTGTAAATTCTTCCACTCTCCCTTTAACAACTACTCTCTTAATGATCTTATTACAAGTTGGAAGGTTTTCTTGTAATTGTCCTTGCAGCCTTTTGTATATTTCATACCATCAATGAAGTATTTGTTTCATATTAAAAAAAAAAAAAATACTACACTTTTTTTTTATATAAGAAACTTACAAGGTTTTTGCTTTGCCTTGTATGGGAAAGAGGTAATATGGGAAAGAGGTAATCCGCTTCTAGCTTTTGCTTTGGCTTGTATGGTTGTATCTAATTATAATTGATTAAAAAAAAAGTATGATTATATCTAATTGATTGGTTTTCTATTTGTGTGCTAGGGTTCACATAACCAAAGAGTTCCTAGGTCAGTTTATAAGAATTTTCATATCACGTCTTGATTCTCTCTCTAGATGTAATGATTAGATATATTCCATGAAATAATAATTGAAATTGAACATTTATAGTGTACAAAAAGGAACGTACCTTCACAGCCTCAATTATATCCTTGTCTGCATCCTTGACGTAACGTCCAGAAAAATCAGTAATCTTTGTCGTAAAGCAACCATCGTCATCGACTGCAACAATCAGATTCTCACCCTATAGGCAAATGGCAAAAACACAAGCAAATATAAGACAGGAAATGAAAATGTAGAGTAACATGTCCTTAAAAACAATTGGAGTCCCTTTTCTGCAATGCTATTGACTTTTGTTTTGGCTCCTTTGATTTAGTTTTTTTCCTTTTTAATTTAATCCTTCACGAAAGTATGGTTTGTCATTTAAAAGTATATA